AAAAAAAAAAAAAAAAAAAAAAAAAAACTCTCTCGTCTTCATTGTGATGTATGCATGAGGTGTGATTCCGTGTGAATATGTGCACTCACTGGTGTTGAACTAAAAGGTTCATTGCAGTATTATTAATTTATTATTATCATTCTTATTAGTATTTTTTATTTTTTTTTAAGCCGAGATGCAGATGCTTGTGTTACCTGCTGAGACAAACTTTGTGTGTGAATACTACGCAGGGGGTGCTGTATTTAACCCCCGCCCCCGAGTGCACCTTAAAAAAAAAATAATAATAAATTAAACTAAGCAATATTCTTCACTCAATCACTTGCCTTCACTTCTTGTTCTCATCTCTGTTCCTTACACTGGTCTTATGTATTACGAGGGAACACCAACCAACCTGGTTGGCGGGGCACCCCGAGTGTACTTTTTGTGTGGGTGGGTGTGTGAATGATGTGCAAGCGGTGTTATATCAGAATTGGGGCTGTGTTATATTTGGACAAGAACAGTTGCCGTCACATAGTACAACAAGGGGTGTTGTAGTTGAGTTGGTTGTACAGTATGCTGGGGTAACAGGGGGGTCAGTCTAATTAGAGAATCAGTGAGGCGTTGGCTGGAGCGGGGAGAAGGGGGGGGGGGGGGGAGATCGGGTCTGTTTGTCACGTTCATCTGAGCTCGGACAGAACTTCTATAGAAGTTTGATAGAACTGCTTCTCCGGTTATATCTGTACTTGTGTGCTCCTGCGACGACCTGGCGCCAAGTTCCACTAGCCCCAGGTCGTATCAGATGAACGTGACAGACTGGGTTTAGACCTGGGCTTAGACCTGGGGCGAAGTCCCACTAGCTCCACTGTAAACCAAAGTCGCCAGGCTGGGTTTAGACCTGGGTTTAGACCTGGGGCTAAGTCCCACTAGCCCCAGCCTAAACCCAAGTCGCCAGGCTGGGTTTAGACCTGGGGCTAAGTCCCACTAGCCTCAGTCTAAACCCAAGTCGCCAGGCTGGATTTAGACCTGGGTTTAGACCTGGCTGGATTTAGACCTGGGTTTAGACCTGGGTTTAGACCTGGGTTTAGACCTGGCTGGAATTAGACCTGGGTTTAGACCTGGGTTTAGAGCTCGGTTTAGACCTGGGTTTAGACCTGGGTTTAGAGCTGGGTTTAGAGCTGGGTTTAGACCTGGCTGGATTTGGACCTGGGTTTAGACCTGAGTTTAGACCGGGTTTAGACCTGGGTTTAGACCTGCCTGGATTTAGAGCTGGGTTTAGACCTGGGTTTAGACCTGGGTTTAGACCTGGCTGGATTTAGACCTGGGTTTAGACCTGGGCTTAGGCCTGGGTTTAGACCTGGGGCTAAGTCCCACTAGCCCCAGTCTAAACCCAGGGCGTGGCAGATGAACGTGACAGACTGGGTTTAGACTGACTTGGTTTTGAGTGCGCACGGGTTCCTGACATCTGATCGGAGTATCTTACAGCCGCACTGTGACCGTGTTGAAAAATACTCGAAAGGAAGACTACCCCCCCGTTCGTGAGACTTGATCCCCGGCGTACTATGTGTGTGTACGTCTAGGAGGCAAACCACCACTACCCCGTGAAGAATCAGGCCACAACTCCCACAGGCTCCCCCACCTCATCACCCCCCAAAGGGCGGGGAAAAGAAAAGAAAAGAACTATGGACGTTGGATCGTCAATCCAACGGCCTCTTGGTAACCAGGGCAGTCATAAATCAAGGTTGTAAAGTTTCAAGTTTAGGGTTTAAACCACAACTACATAGGAGGAGGAGGGCCTCTTGGTAATTGGCCCAAGCCTTTTTCTAGTGCGCCGAAGGCCCGAATGCCTTGCATAGACTTCAGGATAAAGTTCTGGAAGGCAAACTTCCTGCAGAGCAGAAGAATATAGCACATAATCTTTAGATAAGAATATGGCACAGAATCTTTACATAACAATATAGCACAGAATCTTTAGATAAAACTAGGAAGTAGGAAGCGCATAGGCCAAGCCGGAGCAGAAATAGCCCTACCTGTTTGCGTTCACGGCTCTGCATTGACTCTCTCCGGTCCTGCGGAGTATCCTCTTGCCTCTCTCTCTCTCTCAAGCTTCTTCTTCTTCTCTTTTTCTCTCTTACACAAGCTTCTTCTTCTCTCTCTCTCTCTCAAGCTTCTTCTGACTCCCTCTCCCTCCCTCCCTCCCTCCC